CAAAATCCAATAAATAAATCTAAGATTACCTTCTGTGGGTGCCCTCTTCATATCTACCGAATGAATTAAGCTTTACTGCATGGACCATTCCCAATGGATTATGATGTTACCCTGAATGGAAAGGAATTTCTGGCCCACAGCAGCCAGCTGGGTGCTTCCACATGGAATAATCGCGGTACAGCAAATCGAACTGTACGGTAGCAGTTGTAGTCTTCTTCTGTATTCAGATGACCACCTAATGAGTTCTCCTGGAGGTGATTAGGTGCAACCGGAGAATCACCAGCCAAGAACCTAGCCATGGACAATGCCTCACGTGAAGCGGAAGTCTCTTAGGCAGTTCTCCATTATAGCCTTCATAAGAGCCTCTTCACCAGAAGCACAGCCTTTCCTTTTGCTAGCATTCATTTGGTTCCTCTTTTCGCCTTCTCTTTGTTGCGTTTTTCATCCATTTCAACGCATCAGCGCATTGTTCAGCTGAAATCTCGACACGCCTATGGATGAATTCATTTTGCCTAGCCAGTACGAGTTTATAGCCAACCTGTGAAGTAATTCATTGCTGGCTAGCCGGCTGCTTTATTCTACCATTCCGTCTGTTTATATCGAAAGAGTGTTTTTTGACGCAGAGGTCCTCCTTTCGGTGCAAGCACTAGCACTGTTTAGTACTTTACCAAAAAATCGGTAAGGAGGTGGTGATGAAGTTGTCTGGTAGCCCGCTAGAGTGACTGGCCTAAACTATTTCAATATTATGAAATGTTGTAAAAGGTGAAATCCATAATCTACTTTGTTTTTCATTCTTCATAACTATTTATGGCTTCTTTCCTTAGCATTTTCTATAATTTATTTATTTGACTGGTTATCTTGTACATTTTATTTGCCATCCTCTTGCTCTTATCCGTTCTATTCCCATTTTTGATGAGTTTTTGAATTTTCATTCCTACATCCTTCTTATTGAATAGGCTTAAAACCTTCTTTCGTAGAGTAGTTAGGGAATTACTTGACTGCTCTTCCTAACGGACCTTTCATTCGACGAAGAGATTTTGCGAGAGCACCTCTTCGAGGGCATTGAATGAATAAATAAGTTAATGAAATAGTTATGAAAATGGGGATTAGAAGTGAAACCTAGTAATGTGGTGTTTTCAGGGGTTACAGCCCTGTAGAGCATTTGATTTCTACTGAATACTTGTAATAAAAGAGCAAAAACCGCTCTGAGATGAGTTTTGAGGCTTGACGTTCATCCCGATATCATAGACACCTGTCGCCCCGCCCCTTTGTCACATCAGAGGCTTGTTTCCCTTGCGACGTATGCTTGACTTTTTTCAAGTGTTTTGTACCCACTTTCACGACATCAAAAACTATCAAATTTCTTGTTTTGGGTTTTTTTCATTGGAAATATTGTTTTGCAGGGCGAAAACTTTTTGAAAAAACAATTTTGCTTGTGAAATACTTGCAAACCTCCTCAGGAAGATGGCCTGGTAGTTGTCTATACCGATTTTCGCCCTCTCTTGCCCTTTTTGCCCTCTAAATTTTGCGAATCTCACAATCTGTTGACTTCCGGGTTCTTTTTTCCTTTTGACAACTCGTTTCGTTAGGTGAAAGCTAGCGAAATAATGTTTTTTATTTGTAAGATGCGCGAGAAACGCCGACGGTAGCATCCGACTCCGATTTTTTTTGGTTTCCCTCATGTCTAAATATTGAGCTTTCCATGTAGTCAGAAAAATGCAAAAATCAGAGGCGTTGCTAACCGCTTTTGCTTATTGCGAGATTTTCCGAGATTAAGCCAGGATTCTCTCCTTCCATGGTCATCCATCTATCCACCTGTTCAGTCATTACTACTTCTAGTTCTAACATTTAATTTTTTGCTTTTCTTTCCGTAAGAGTCATAGCAGAGGTCATCTTAGTCTTCTAGTCGGCAGTAATGGCCCTAGGTAAGACGGCAAATCGCTCGGCATCATGCTTACCTGGTAAAATGAGTTCATAAGGGTTATTCTGTTGTTCTCAGATAGCTCTTTCACCATGTTTTTGGCCCCAGAGGCGATGAAGGAAGAGTAGGGATTCGGAGTTTAGAAGCTTCCGTATTTAAGGTTAGAACCGGTTAGAGACCCCTCGAGCGTTATTAGTGCCACTTTTCTTATTCTGACTTCAATTTTTCAGTGCAGCTATACCCTCCGCAGTTTGATATTCAGTAGAAGTCGTCATATTTCTTGCCTTCAGATGACTTGGTCGATCCTTCTTAGTATCCAAAACCCCTTCCAGGCGTTCTCCATAATAAAAGTCGATCTCAAGATGTAAAACAATTAGTCATCTGACACTTCCTTCCTAATTGTATTAGAAATATGCTATGCTGACAGAATATAGGCATCAGCTCAAGTCCTGTTCATGCATAGCATAGGCATTACACTTTCTTGAAAGATGTTCTTCTGAGAGATATTTCTCCATACCTTCCGCCACAATATCGTTCATTATCGCACCTTATCATTCCTTAACCTTTCAGGTTTCTGGGTGACTTTGCAATCATGCAAACATCAGAAAATGTCGATCTTTGCCAAATTCTTACTCACTGTTTTTATCATCCACCATTTTTGTTTGAAAAGAGCTCAAGGCGCCCACAGATCCCGCCCAGTTTCTTGGCCACGCCCCAATTGATGCTGACGATAAAACCATTTTTTATATTGAAGCAGAGAAGAGGAGTAGTGCACAGGCGGAACTCAGGAAGTAGGCGGAATTTTCCATGCGTCAATTCAGTAAGCAAGTTCTTTGTAAAAATTCTCCGAACTCGCCCTCTCTTTCATTTCCATTGACAGAAGAATGGACTCACGACTTGCGTTTTTGAGCTTCCTTTGGCATCCCTTCAAAGCTATATCCAATATTATTATACTTTGAAAAGCGGCTATCGACTTTCCGGATTATTTCAGTAAAACTTTCTAAAGTATCGTATGACTGCTTAATCGGCCAAATGTAATGGCTAAGCGGCTATGCTTTTTGTTATTCTACACTAGCCTGAAACTATGGAACGGCATGGAAGAGTCGAGAGGCTTTGTTGGTTACCCTGCAACTTGTTGAAGTACCATTTGCCACAATTTCATCTCCTGGAAATGGTGTGCACTGAACATCGAAAAGTCAAATATCCCCAGATCACCCAACAATTCCGGCGTTGTTACGACAGCATATACTTATTTTTTCCCAGAGTTGTTCCATACCGTCGACTCTCCTATAAGGTCCCCCTCCTACAGTATGAATAGTATAAGGTAGAGGACGTTCTGGCTGGAAGAGCAACGTGGGCTTGGACATGAAAGATCCTTAGAAATGAGTCTGTTGATTCGAATTTCACAGTATTTCAATATCGATTGCTTGGCTCGCTTTTCTGGCCCATCTACTTACATTAATTATTACTCTAGTAATTCTTACTGTATTCTGGCGAAGTCATAATTTCACTTTCCATTTTTCTACACTGAATTGTGCCTCGGGAGCTTTTCTATAGAGAGGTAGGGCTATAGTAGTATGCTGTGTGAGTGGAACCTGATTTTAATTGTACTTGGGCCGCCACCCATGCAATGGTTTGTCCCCGAACATTTGATGGCGGATGGCGAGACTTGTTTGAAGTCCTTCCTGTAATCTCTGTAAGAGGAGACACCAGGTGGAGGGCTCTGGAAATTCGGAATGACAGCCAGCTGTTACCACGTCGAAATTATGTGGAAATGCTCAAATGTTCTCCAAACTACTCATTTTTCTTGATTATTGTTTACTGCAGTACACTTCAGACAGGTAAAAAAGTTCAATGTTCACAGCTGTGGCACTGCATAGCGATCTGTTCCCAACATCATGTTTTTTGCTTGCTGAACATCAGTGTGCCCTCTCCCTTACCCCACCTCCCTTCTTGACCGACTGTCAGTCATTTCCCCCATTAACCAAACATTTTGCCAAAAAATCTTTCTGCACGTTGTTTTCTGCAAACAGCGGTTAAACTTATGACGACAATTTAAAAATAACTTCCCATCCGATGCGTATTCTGCTCCCCTCCGTCTGGAGATTTGGCTTATCCTGCTTTTGAAGAAGAACTAATAGAAGACCCAGTATTTTTCACCCCTCCAAATGATTGAAGATGACTGATTCTCAAAAGCAAGTTCACGATAATTTTGAGGTATTTTCATAAACTAAGGTAAAGGTGAATAACAGGAGTGATAGTCTAGAATATTGCAAACCCGGCGTATTTAGAGATTTATAAGGTATCAAAAGGAAGTAAAATAGGAGATGAACGAGAACGTGACGACAAATGTTGCATGTAAGGAGTATTCGGACGAGTTGTCCAAGTGCGTGTGTCAATGCATCCAGCTGGCTACATTAAACATTGGGCTGCCTGCGTGCAACGTGTGTGTCCCAGTGCGATGGCAACCCCAACAACCTCTTCATCGGCGTGAGATCTCGTACGATAGTGGGTGTGTAGCTGGCTAAGCCGATTCCGGGGCCCTTAATACGCCCTATACGAACCTTTTTTCGACGCAGCAGCATGCCTTGTGCTACCTTCAAAGACCAATGGTTCATCCCAGGAAGAAAACTCAATAAAACGATTTCTGTCATGAACAGTGCCTTGACGAAAATAGGGCTCCTTGACTTAAAGATACACTTCACGATAATTTTGAGGTCTCTAGTTTCCGACGGATGATGCAAGTATAATAATAGTCCAAAAATAGTGCAAAGATAACGAAGAAAATTTGGAGAACGGCGTATTTACAAAAATATAAGGCTTCGAGAAAGCAGTAAAATAGGGGTTGGACGAGATTGTGGTGGAAAAAATGACGTGGAAGAAGAGGGTGCGCTGTCCGCAATGTCTGCAATTGCGTACAGCTTATTCAATAGGCGATAAACCTGATTTGATCCTCTCTTAATATTCCGCAAACTAAAGGCATTCTCTTGCATCCAAGCGTCCAGTGAATCCGAAAAAAAATAATTTCCGCTCCCCTCAACTTGAACAACCCCACACCACTCAGCAATCAGCTGATTGGATGCTAAACATGTGAGTCCTGGCGGGAATAGTCAATCTGTACCGCTTTTGGAACCCTTCTGACATATAATTGGTCGTTGAGCGTAGACGTTGCATTGACGATTCCGGTAATGGGGCGAGTTTTTCAGCCCGACAGCGTCCTTCGTGTTACTCTTGGGGCCACTGAGTAATCCTCAGGGGAAACCTTCGGAACCATTTTTATCGTGAACTTTAAGCGAAATGTGAAAGACTTTGTCTCCCATCTATTCTGCCAGTAGCAGAACCATTTAGCAGGCTTTTTCCTGATGGAGTATCACCAATTCTTGTGCCCACAAGAAAGTCTTCAGAGCCACTTTATCAGTTATCATATCGTATCATATCATATCATATCATTTACTATCATCAATTACCCACATGGAACAAGGCCTTCCTTTTTTATTATTTATTATTTTTATTATTTTTTTTTTGACTAACCATTGAAACCCATTCAATAGCCACTGTAAATTGCTTAAGCTGCATCAACAAGCATACATAAAATACGGATTCACGGCGCAAACTTCGGACCCAGTTACCGTTTCGTACTGGTCCACTATGATCATTACTATTGACTTGTTTAAGGAACGCGGTTATGGACTCGGAGTATAGGATAATACTTAATGTTGGCGGTGTTAGGCACGAGACATACAAGCACACCCTGAAGAAGATACCTGCAACCAGGTAACTTACACTACTTCTTTCCAAACATTGTTGATTTTTTTTTCTTTCTTGAATTACTGATTCTGTTTACTTCTTTGTAAATACTTCCCTTAGAACATGGATAATAAATAATTGAGAATAAACTAATTTTTAAGTTATGAACCAGCTGCTATTCTGTAAGAACACTTACTCTTCAAGGCTCATCAAAGGCACCGTTCACGACAATTGAGGCACCCCTTTTTAGTCGAAACGCGAAAGTATAGGTTGAAAATCGTCCAGCGGTAGAGGAAAAGAAAATTCGCCGATTCCGAGAAGAATAAGGCTCCTCAAAAGTAATGAAAATAGAGTGAAAACATCACAAGTTGAAAGTGAAAACATTACAAGTTGTTTTAACTTCTTGCATGGGTTCCATCGTGATTGGTGCAGCCTTTGCAACACCGTGGAACTCGTCCGCGCGTAAACACGGTACAATCTAGAGATCTTTATAACGCCCTCTTTAGGCCCCTTTTTGGACTGACAGCGCCACATATAATATACGAGAGGCCAAAAATTTATTCTGGGGGATATCTCATAAGCCATTTTTATCGTGAACTATGCCTTTAACTGCGCTACACCATTTTATGTGTGCTCTGAATTAAATAATAAATGACCTGCCTAGACCTATTATTCTATCCAAAATATGCATTACATCAAGTCAAAGATGAAAGGTAGATATAGTGAGGCGCGGCTGAGGAAAACACGCTTAGAAGGGTTTTTCAAAATATCTCGACTTTTCAGGCTATCACGGTTGACAACCAACCTTGCCAACTACGATCCAGTGTTGAACGAGTACTTCTTCGATCGACATCCTGGGGTGTTTTCACAGATTTTAAATTACTATCGTACTGGAAAACTACATTATCCTTTGGATGTCTGTGGACCGCTGTTTGAGGAGGAGCTCAAGGTCAGTCAAGTGTTTTACTCATTTAAAAATGAGTTGAATTGATAGCTGTTTATCGTTTATTTATTTACTCATAAACGAAGAAATTAATATCTTGCTGATAAGAGACTGATTTCGAGCAGTCAATATTTGACTACAGGCTCAACTATTTTTAATTAAAGCGGACGAATTTGCGGGAGCTGCATAAGGAGCAGTAACTGCACGAGCAGGCTTCGAATCACCCAAGCTCTCTAATAGAGCGCGGTCACCTGGCGCTAGCTCGCTGGATGGGTAAACAATAAGCTGTCCAACGTGATCTCCTGGGCTCGGGAGACTTTTGTACAGGCAAAATCTATGTCCACACTAATAATACATACGATTCTGGGAGAATGTCGAACAGGCAGATCTATTCCAGGAAGTCAACAAAACTTTATTTTTCTGTCCTTATACCTAATATGAGAATTGGAGCCCTAAGAGGGTATTTACGAACTTGAACCCATGTTCAATATGGACAAGTCTCAGCTCAACTAACCTCCAATCTCTTCTCATGTCCATGCTGCATTAGGATCCGTCGGGCACGGAACCGAAATTATGCAATGACTGAAGAAAGCGTCACCTCAAAGGCCTCAAGATAGCATATTCCCTGATTATTTCCATATTCCTTGAAAAGGCTTATTAATATTTATCACTTGATGCTATTGTAAAATGCTCACTTGGTCATTTATTATTATTAATTTCTAAATCTGTGCCATCCGGAAAACTATCTCCTGAGAGATTTTCCAAATTGGAGGACCCGATATAAGCTCAAGGGATATTTCGCGCTAGTCAGGAACGACATTCTACGAGCATCGTTCAGTCTTGCGAACATGCAGCATCCGCCTTTTCATCGGCTCAACCATTCTAATTGAGATCGTTGTGAATGATCCATACTAGAGAACTGACCAATGCTGACACTTTTTCTTCACTCTTTACACCATTTTGCAGCACATACTTTGGAATACGTTTTACTCCTCTGGTGTACCTAATCGATTCGTTTGCAACTACTTCCTCGTCTTTTCCTCTTGAGGCGCGGAAGGAAGAGATACGACGCTCACGAAAAAACGATCGTCGCTCCGAATTATTTTCAACTTATCAATACAATACGTTGAGCTTGTGTTGACAAGCGCGTGGCGTAAACTATGACGGCGTTACACACAAGTGAAATTTGAGACTCTCAAACACATTCGGCCTATTCGATTGATCTTCGGCGTCTCGAAGAAGCGACACCTTTCCCTAGTTGCAGAGATTGACAACCGGGGAGGTTCCTTCCAGAAAAATAAAGGAACCTCCTTTTGAGGATGAACTGGTAGTAAATTGTAAGTATAGCAGGGAAGTAGGAAGGAACTGGCTGGTAGTGAGCTGTGAGCACAGTATTAGTGGAAGGTGGTGTCAGATATATCAGGAGAGAAGGTAGGATCAGCGCTAATTGATGTAATTACTATCGTAGACACATGAACGTGGCCGCGTGGCGCAATGGATAACGCGTCTGCCTACGGAGCAGAAGATTGCAGGTTCGAATCCTGCCGTGGTCGAAACCTTTTTACTCCAATTTCTTCCTTTTGAACTAGAAATAATATCATTACCCTGTGGGAAAATTCGAGTAATGTGGACTTGGAATGATACTTGGAACAAAGGTTCGAACTGTCTAATGCCTCTCATCCTGCCTATCGCTTTTTCACTCCTACAACTACAAATAAAAATGTAGTTTAAACATTTGTAGGAATCAAAAATCGAATAGGCAAGGCAATGTTTGATTTAGTTTGGAATGCCTTCAAATGATTCTGCGAATTCGGATAGAATCCATGCATCCCATTAGTTGGCCAACCTATCCTAATAAGGAGATATGGTTGTGGGGCTTAGAGTTTATTTCTCCCACATCTCCCTGTTCTTCGTCTGCCAGCTTTAGAAATGATAAACCGGAAAATAGGTTCAAAAATACTAAATCTCAGCAAAGCAGGTCTCAACGTTGACTTTCATTCCATAATATTGTTCCCGTATAAAAGTTCAAGGTGGCTATTCCGTTCATGATAGGACGCGCCCCGCGATCGATCTCCTTTCAGCGGAAATGATAAGTAACAAATTTCATGACAATCCTGAAAATTCAGTTTTTATTCTGATTTGCTTGTATAATCATTCTATTACGTCTGAACTTCATACGTTTCCACTCAAACCCATTATTAAACCTTGCAGTACTGGGGATTAGATTCAAATGAATGCGAGCCATGTTGCTGGATGACCCTCTCTGGAACTCGAGACACGCAAGAGGTACTGAAAACCTTGGACGAACTCGATATCGAGGTTGACAATGCGGATGGACCGGTGAGCAACCTAAATTATACGATAAAATAAGAGCTACAATCGAGTAGTCTTGTTCTATACTTACCATCGATGACCACTTGGAGCTAAATTCATATGTAATGATGGTTCCTAACCAAGTTCTCAACCAAGAGTACGGCGATTAGGTTCAAAATCTTCCCCTGCGAACGCCGCCACTGGTTTGGCAACAAATCGGAAGCGTGTGGCTTCGGAAATACCCATGTCAAGTGCTCACCCACCCGCTCTGTCACCGTGCGACTTTCAAACATGCCGGTAAACAAAACTATTTTCTCAGAAAACAGCCGAGAATTAAGCAGATAAAAATATAATAATTTTAAAGCCCTGGTTCACACGAACAGTGACCATTCCATGACTTCGTTAGCTCTCCTTCTGATAAACTCACATGTTCGAAAACCGGACATACACCTTGTAACGGGCAGAGCGGTCCTAAGAAAAATCCAAATTCGGATTGGATCAACACAGCTACTCCCGAAGCTGGTGTCGATCAGGGGTAAATCATAATGGATAGGCGCTTCTGGATCACTGAAAATAGAAAAAAAAGGACTAAAAAACGACTAATCAAATATCAAGCTCAGTTGTGGGGCCTCCATTTGTTACAAAATTGTAAGACTTCTTTCTAGGAGCTCTACCAGCGATTCGGATGGGAAGATGATTTCCATAATGATAGCCTGAGTAAATGGCAAAAGCTGAAACCAAAGATGTGGCGACTGTTCGATGAACCAAGTTCGTCCCGAGGGGCCAAGGTAAGATCCCTCACTACCATTTGGAGGTCACGTCACGAAATTCGATCGGTAAATTGCTTTTTTTCAGGTTGTCGCTATTGTTTCCGTATTCTTTCTTATTACTGCTATACTGGTATTCTGCTTGAAAACTCATCCTGGACTTCGAATATCGGAAATTGCTGGCTTAGGAAATCTGTCTCGAGAAGCTAGAGCCGCTAACCATTACAAGTATCGACCAGCACCGTTGACTGTTGATAAGACGAATTCGAAAGCTCATCCAGGGTTTATGGTAAGATTCGAAGTTGTTCACTGCTGAAGGCATTGCGCGTCTACGAGTGCATGTAGGCGCGCGGTTGCGTCGCGGTCACCTCCCGCCGTTGGCCAGACTGGAATGTCGGATTATTGAAGCATCCTGTAGCAAATTTTCGAGGAATTCTAAAGCGACCGAAATTTTTGTTTTGGGGCTAATTGTCCCTAATGTACCTTTGCCGCTCCCACGAAAAGGTTCACAGTGATACCAAGGGTCATTGATCGGAAAAGGTGGAGCATCAGCCCCAGCTCTGGGCAAAAAACCGCGACGCAGCCGCACGCTTCATCTTATTACACATCCCCAATGAATGTTACCGTAATGTGATACTATTGTATATGGTAGCATCTACATATAATCCAACATGATCTTCAGATGGTTGAGACATTATGCAATATATGGTTTACTATAGAAATACTGGTACGATTTACATGTTGCCCATCTCGTATAGAATATTTAAAGGTAAGGGAATGAAGATATTTTTGGAAAATCAGTTTCCGTTCGAAATCACCGAATTTCAGGCACCGGTAAATCTAATCGATATTGTTGCTACGGTTACTTTCTACATAGACGTATTGATCAATACTTTCGGTGCATCAGCCGATTTGGAATTTTTCTCGATAATTCGAATTATGCGATTATTTAAGCTTACACATCATAATAGTGGATTGAAAATCCTCATGCATACATTCAGGTCAGAAAAATTTCTAAATTCTTCAATTCATGTTGAGTAATTCGAAATAATTTTTACTTAAATTATGCGAATTGTTGCAGTTTTTTTGAAAAACTCATTCAAAATTCCTACTCACGGGTAGGATCCCATTCAAATCCGAACGGCTTGAGAGCCAGGTGTGATCCAGTAGATGCGGTCGAATCTGGTTTGCTGTTTCGTCACGCCAGATGTCATTCGGGTATCCGGCATTTCACACATCTGGGTGATCCACCTAAAATGTTAGCGGCCTGGAACCGCAGCATGACATCTTCTTTTTCTCCTTATTAAATAAATTTCTCTTCGC